AAGTATATAAACACTTGGCCAGTTTCAAATTCGAAATTCACGTAAGCATATCCATCTACTCTTTATCCATCTGTCCGTCTACACAATTCTGTGGGTATATATGTAGTAATAATTCTTGCGCTTGCAAAAGTGAAGACATTACTTACAAATTTGCAAAAGAAACTCAAAATGACCCAAACTTTTAAAAAAAAAAAAAACACGCCTACAGCGCCCACACACGTTTATATAAGAACAACTGTGAATACCTTTGTTTTCCGTATTTCTGCTTGTTATACTCATAGAGTACAACATACACACCATAAAAGATTCCCACTTTTATTTTAAAAGTAGAAAAAAATCAACCGTGCCCACCCAATATTGCAAAGTATTGTATATAAAAATGTATTTCTCACCGGTTTTTTTAGGATCACGGTGATGAGTATAGGAGATTCGGCCACGACCGAATACAATTTTCTTATCTGTTTCTTTTTTTTCTTTTTGTTATTTATTTTCTTTTTCTTTTAAGATATCTACAACTTGAAGTGCTGTCTAAACGTTAGAGATGTCGTAAACATTTTAATACGCGCAAGAATCGAGTAGCCATTGCCTGGTAAGCAGGCATAAGCATTAACATGTTTATGCAAAACTTTTGTGTGCTAAAAAAAAAAGTATATCAAATGATTTACAATTCTAGAGGCATATTTCTAAAATTTGAATTCAAATTTCGGAATCTTCGAACAAACAGCCAAACTTGAACTTATTTAAAGAAATTCCGATGCAACATTTATGCCAGGCCCAGAAGGAAATAGCTTTTCAGCACTTTTTAATTCGTTTTTAGACTCGTAAGCGTTTACAGATTTTAAAGAAGAGACATTAACATTTGCGCTTAGCGCACACAGTAATATTACCGTGTGCGCACTAAAAACAGGCAGTTCCTGTAAATTTATACAAAATAAATGAGAAAAAAATGTATTCATCTACCGGCTTTTACCTACGGAAGTCCAATACAAGCTCTGGAGTGGAAAAAACAAAAGCACATTTTTTTGAAAACATATTGGAAGGCGTGGCAACTTTTGTAACAAAACAACATTTTTGCTTTTCCCTATCCTTCCTTATCCTTACCATTCCGATAGATATCACAAAATCTGCATCTAAAGCAACCAAACAGGCATTTTCTGAAGATACGACTCAAAATCTATTAGAATCGACAAGTTTTATTTCATCATTCATTAAACATCAAACGATGTTTAGCGCCAAAATCTTAATTTGGAGAATAAGTGAAGTTGCAGCTGAAATTTCACGGCTGTCGGATGAAAATTGAACGAACCAGTGGAACGACAAGTCTCAAGTTCCAATTTAATAGAAGTTTTTTTTGTTGTGTCTAATCTGCGCGAAACGGGGAACCTACACAAGCCCAATACACGCACATTCAGTTGCGGGGACTTTGAGTGAAAAATCGGCTTTTCAGACTTTTTAAAATATCTCCTGCACAAGCTGCATTGCGGCATTGGTTTCGTGTATATTGTGTGCTACTTAACAGGATCGCTCAATAACTATTTTTTATTTCATATAATCAATTACTTACTATTTAATGGATATTCCTTATAGATATGATCACGTTGTTGGTCAGGGAAGAATTAAGTAGAAGAGAAGTAGCGAAAGAGAGGAAACTGCAGAAATTGCGAAATTGAAATGTGAAAATTTTGAGTAACAGACAATCAACGTTAAAAGCAATGCGAATTAAGATAAGCATAAAGTTTGAACTATAAATTATTCCAATTGTTTCTTACCAGTTCGACATCGGGTGTTCGATTAACGACAATAAAGATAAATAAAAATGAATATCTACAGACAACAAGAGTTTGTGGTCACTTGCTCTCATAATACATACATATATTATGAATTTTCAAACATTATGACAGGCGAACGGTACGATCTTAATCAAATCTTTAATGCCACATATTTTGATACCTGGGATTATTATAAATGTAAATACGGCAGTAAATCAGCGCCTATGGCCATTACTAGTCAACATTAATTACCAGTCATCCCCATCTCCATGTAAACATAATAAACAACACTATACGCGACGGACCTAGTTTCGAGAATGTTTTAATTTAATACAAGAAAAAAAGCGGTACTGAAGGAAGCCGAAACCGACCATCATAAATACCCTGCATCATTTACGTCACTACAATCAAAAACTAGGCTACCGCACAGGCAAGTAATTATGAAAGCCAGGCTAGTTAAGATTAAATTTCCAGTGTACTAGACCATATTTAAATTGCGGTTGGTATGTGATCGCTACGATAGTAAGTGCATGGTCAATAAAATCATAAAACTCATTGACAACATGGGACAAACTCTCTCCGACTTCTTTCTGACCAGCAATAAACAATAAACAAAAATAATGTAGAATTGTACTTAACGATGCGCTGGAGGATATTTAATATTCGGCCTTGCTAGGTTATAACGCTTCAGTTTTTTTTTTACCTTTTTATTTACCTTTAATTCGATATTTTGATATCATTTGTAAGAGTCAGGAGAGGCTTATGGAGGAAAGAAAATGCGTCAGCTATTTGTAAAAAGAAGAGTGAGCGGAATGTGCAACGACTTTTCCGAGACTGACATATAAACTTTTCTCACTCCTATGTCGACCGCATATGTCATGCTAAATTCGACCTCATCGCATTCAAAATTATTAAATTTCCGAAGGATGAGGAGCATATTCATTTTATCAAAATGATCGCAACGACCGGAACGAAACTGCAGGAGCCCCATAACGTAAATAAATTCTTCATCTGCATTAAGTTCTAAACTAATTTAAGCCTGTCTATCCGCCCGTCTATCTTTCTATATCATATATCTGCGGTAATTATACTCCTGGTCGTAAAAAGCCAACTACTAGTACTTCAAATTTGACGGAAACATTGAAGGTTCTTGCACGCACGCAGGTTTTGCAATTGATCCAAATCATTTAAACAGTAGGTCCACTGTACGGCATAACCTAAAAAAAAATTTAGTTCTCTGCTCGTTACTTATAAACTACAAACTCTCTCTCTGTTTTTTTCTACCGTCATCACGTTACACGTATAGATAACATCAACTAAGTAATTAGTCATATACCCTAAGGGGTAAAAAAGAAATTTAAGCACTTAGCACGACACCACAAATTAGACCTTGTTCTCATATAAAACTTTACTTTTCTTTAGAATCCTTATATGGAAGAGGCTCCGCGGAATAGATCCATTGCCTCAAATAGACTAAATTTATCATGATAAACTTATATGGCAACTCAGTAGTCTTTTAAACTCTCTTCACCACACAATACAATAAATCAAACTTTGTTGCTATAAAAAGCCATAAAGAGAATTATTTTCTCTAAGAACTTGTTTATATAGTCCCATATAGTCTCTTTTTAGACTAGATAGTTTCATTTTACCAAATTTATCACATTCACTTATTATCCAATAATAATAATAATATTTTTTGCCAATTTTTTCATATAAAAAATTTTCACGTTTTCAACAAAGAAGGGGTACTTGACCGAAGACATATCGGTATAATGAAATTCATCAAAATATCTCAAAAATCGTAGGCTGTGTAGTTTGCATTTATTAACACACCAAAAAGCTCGAATTCCCATATTCTTAAAGCGCATTAGCGAATAGTTACATTCCCATGAATTTGCGCTCACTCATAGGTCATATCAGTTAATATTTGATTTCCTAACAAATTCAGAAATATCCTTTTTGAACATAGTTAGCAAAGGTAGTCACTAAACATCATGGAAATTAAATGTTAAATTATTCTATTGCCTAGTTACTCATTATTAATGCTATAGTAGGGAGGGGTTTATATAAATTAGGTGCAGTAAATGCCTGAGTCTTGCTTCCACTGTAACAAATCTTCTCACATAATCAGATGATCGTTAGATAACAACTGTTCTCCCCTTATGTGATTTTAACGTGGGCTTATTTTGGGCGATCCCATCAAAGATATGTGTAATAATCCATTCAAGGATTTCATGGCTTATTTAGAAGAGAGTTCAAAACTCCTTAAAGGTGAGGCACAGAAAACTATGCTTTATCGCAAAAGCAGAACAGTTTCAAAATCCGTAAGATCTTAAGGGAAATAGGAACGTGTGTATGCCCCAATCGGATGCTTGCAGGCTTTCCTCACACATGCAACATATAAATGTCATTTTATAAAAACATGCTGACGAAGTTGTCCATCTCCTATTGTAAACTATCCCCTTTAAAAAGTAGCATATTATATAAATATATAAAAGGATGGTCGTATTAACTATTATTTACTCTATTTATCTTATTCCGCAATTAACAAGTCTAAATGGATCTTTTCCTTTGCGGTGACGAAAGGTTTTTTGGATATATTTTGTACGTTCACAAGTTGAGAAGTTGAGAAGATACAACTAACTTGTTCTAACTTGATTTATTTGTCTTTTCTGACATTTGAAAGCGACACGTGATGGCCTGCTGTGACCTCCCTTTGTTTTCGTTGATTAGAGTATCGAGAGAATTTTGATTTATTTTCTTCTTTTTTTTTTTTTGTTGCCTTTTCATGAAAATTAGGTTCTAAGAGAATTTGAAACTTTTTTAAAAAAGTTTACAAAACAGATGCATTAACTTTTTTGAAAAAAAAAAAAAAAAAAAAAAAAACAAAAACAAAAACAATCAAAAGTAAGTTAACAAACAAATAACTTTGTAAGCGTTTGAAATGTGAAAAATGTTATTTTGTGTTGTAACGGCCATAGCAGTTAAGGTGTAAAAGTACGGCGGAGAACTTGCTAATGGCATCGGATAGATGACATAAGCGATACAAGTGCGACGCTCACAGGTATTTTAAATCAAATTGAAAAGTTCGTTTTAAATAGCGAAAAAGTAAATAGTTTTGTGAAAAGTTTAATAAGCGGCGCTGCATTAGAGAAGAGTGTAACGGCGGCTGCATTATGATTGCTAAGACAAGTGACAGCAACTTTTCAAAGGGTTTAACACACTTACCAATATTGTGTTGATTATTGTGTAAAACAGAACCGAACGCCATGAGATCCTTAACCGGCGGTGCTCGTGAACCGAGGGCGGCGAAACCGTCGCCCAGAAATGACGCCAGCGCGACAGCCCTAAGGGGCGCTTTTGATACTTCGGTAAGAATTTTGTGAATTTGAATATTTCTGCCGTTTCTTAATTATATGATATTTTTGAAGAATTGTTTCTTCTCAAATTAAGAATTATATAACACTTGTCGTTGTTGTTGTTGCCGTTGTTGTTGTTTATTTAATATTTTAATTATATGGAAAATTTTATAATAATTCCTGATGTTTTTTCAATCACTAATTTTTTATAATTTCGTTGAAAATTAAAGAACAAAAAATTTTTTTTTATATTTTATTAAATTTAAAAAATAATAAAATTTTTAAAACAAATGAAGAAAAAAAGAAAAACGAAATAGTAAATAAAACAGAACGAGCAGGCAACAGTAAACAAGAAGTTTTCTAGAGTATAACAAATGGGTTCAGCCAGATCACGACAACAAGTTATTTCTTTTTTATATATATTTTTTTATTTTCATTTTATTTTATTATTTTTTTATTTCTTTGCTTTATTTTACAATCTTTGCTTTAATGACGTTAATTAGCGCGCGAAAAATTTCTTTCGTTATCAAATATTACGTACGGTAAATGTATGTTTTGCCTTTCTCATATTGTGTGTGTGTGTGTATGTTTGTGTGTGTGTGTGTGTGTGTGTGTGTGTGTGTGTGTGTATATATGCGTGTGTGTCTTGTTAATGGTGATAATGGTCGGAGGTGGTGGTAGGATTGGTAATTATATAATGTAGGTGTTGTGTACGCGTGTGAGCTTTGTTGTTGTGCATGTGGTGCATTGTGTATGCGTATTAATTTTTGGAGAGTAATTCAGCTCTACTTCCCCAGACGACGACAACAAATTATGTTGGGTTCTTTGTGTTCCTCGCAAGGGTAAATGACTTGATTTGTGATTGTAGTCGTCGCCGCGTAATATAGTTGTCGGCCTTTAATCTTAAATATTCCCGCAGCTATTTTTGTGGGCGACACTTGCACTTTCATTTAGTTTACACAGAGGTTTGCGGGCAATTTTAATTATTTACCTCTCATCGGGCCATTCACATTACCATGTATGAACAAGAAAACAATTAGTTACCTAATTTTCTTCTTCTTTTTTTTTTTTTTTTTTTTCCTCTTATTTAATTTTTTTGTAAATTTTCTAATTTAACATATCTCACGCAATTATGCATTCCGTATGTATAGCATACTAAGCATAATTTTCTAAATAACATTTACCAGATATTCCGACGCTAAAGTTGAATGGATGCTTTTGACAACACTAGCTAATTTTGTTAATCCTTGGGTTTGAGCCGGAGTGTGTCAAAGCGACTATTATAATACGTTTGAATTCCGTGAAATGTGCGCTTTGGTTTCACGCGTTATCGCCGTCACTTTGCAATCAATTGTATATACGTGTATATAATTTTATATGTGTACTAATATTTGTTTTAGGTTAAAAATAATCGTCATGCGTATATACCGCATTTAGCGAACGTCCAACGAAAACTAAAGCACGCGACCTTTCAGCTCACAAATGCTCGATTGGGATGGATGCCTAAAGCAAAAACACACGCAAACGTTTGAGCACTAACTAAAACAGCAGCAGGTATCAGCTTGTGCGAACCGGTTTATCATACACACCAAAAATAAAAATAGAAGCAAAACAATAAGAAAAAAAGGAAAACAAAACAAAAACCATCGGGAAAATCGTATACAATTATTCATGTTCTCTCTCTCTCTTTACGACCGCGCACGGCCCACTTTAATAATGCATTTATCTCATTCTCTCTCTCTAATAAACATTAAGGCAAGAAAGGGAATACTGTTACTTCCCCTTCGTGTTCTCGATTAACTCTCTGAGTAGTTGTTGTGTTTATATTAACTGAATGATGATAATTGGTTAGAATGAAATGACTGTATATTTATAAAGAGTGAGTAAATGCTCTCGAATTGCGTAAATTACTCGCTCGCTCGCTTTCGTCACTCTCTCTCTCTTTCTCTCTCTTTCTCTATCTCTCTTCTCGATATGAAATAGCAATGGAGTCTGTTGATGACATGTTCGTTTTTGTGCAAAAGCTGAGTTATTTTAAGTGTCTGTTTGAGACCCAGACATCATTTTTGTGGTTAGAGGGCGTTGCTAAGCAACTCTGACAACTGGTTTTCACACATACAAGTATACAGGCGGTATATTTTATACAAATTTTTGTTATATTTTTTGTTGCTTTATATTCATATTCTCTTTTTGATTTGAAGTTTTGCTTTTTGTTTGTTTGCTTCTGCTGTAATGTCACCAGTAGGTGTGCGAGAGTGGGTAGTGCATTGGTGAGGTTAATCGAACCAATGGCATTTTTCAAAGTGACATTTTGCTCTTTCAACGACAGCGTCATAGTATGTATATGTATGTGCTTATAATATTTGTTTGTTGGTTTCGTGTGCGCCCTTCCAAGGTAAAATGTCAAATGCTGACTGTCAGCCGTGTTTGGCAAAGTTTTGCTTTGGTCTTTTGTTTATGTGTTGATTTTTTGTAGTCGATGATAACCTCTACTCTATATTTGAATTCAAGTATACATACATATACATGTGCATATACCTACATTCTTACGTACATGCATACACAAATGCATATACACATACATATACATATGTATATATATATATATATATATATATATCCAAATATACATATGCCTACATATCTATATGGTTGTCTATATATAAGTACTTACGGATGCATATGCAAGAGACATGAAAAACCGCCCCTTTGGCATAACAGAGACGAGTGTTTTGTATGTTTGTATCGCATGATGTTATACGTACGTACATGCATTCTAACAATTCGATTCCATTCTATTCGTTTTTCGTAAAGAAACCTTTAAATAGTTTATGCTCGACGTGAAACGGTAATAAGCCAAAGATAAAACCCCAAGCGTAGCTAAAAATTACAGAAACTTTTTCGTTCTTTTGTTTTTTCAATTTTTTCTGTTTTTCTCTTTTTTTTCTATTTTTTTTTCTTTCTTCTTTTTTACTTTCTTTATTGTTTTGTGCCATTTTTATACCACTCATACCATTAGTTTGTGCCTCCGTGTGTATAATGGGCAAAGGTAAAACGTTATCATAAATTGTCACCTCCAGTTTCATTTGGCAACTGTTTCCTTACTTGTCTGTTGGTTCGTTCACTCATGCATTTGTAATGTATATGTGTATTTGTGGGGGTTGGTCTCCTCGGTTTGAATAAACTGTCTGTATTTGTATCCTGTCTGTTTTTGCTTTCCGCACTCTCATTTTTGTCTTTGACTTGCAAAATATTGTTCTTTGGGGTGTTAAGCTGTGAAGTGTTTTACTGTTTTTCTTTTTTTTTTTTTTTTTTTTTATT